TGGTGCGGGATCGGGCAGTGTTTCGTTCTGCTGTGCATGGGGTCGCTATGAGTCGGAAACGACTCGACGGCACTTAACAACAACAACAACAAGACAGACACTTACTCTGGATATGAATTTGTTTTTCCTGCATGCAGTGCTTCTGCCCAAACTATCATCTGTGTACTTATAGAATGCTTTTTCCACTGTCATAATATCCCATACAGCATCACCTTGGATCAGAGGACTCCCTTCACAACAAATGAAGTGTGGCAATGGGCCCATGTTCATGGAATTCACTTGTCTTACCATGTTCCCATCATCCCGAAGCAGCTGGCTTGACAGAATGATGGGATGGCCTTCCCAAAACACAGTTACAGGGCTAACTATTGGCAGTATCTTGCAGGGTTGGGGCATTGTTCTCTAGGGGACTGTATATGCTCTAAACCAGTGTCCAATATATGGTCCAATATGTTTCTCCTGTAGCCAGGATTCATGGCTCCAGGAATTAAGGGGATGGAAATGAGAGTGGCACCACTCACTATTGCCCCTAGTAACCTACTAAAAATTTTTTTTCTTCCTTTCCCATGACCCAGTGCTCTGTGGGTCTAGAGGTCTTAGTTCCAAAGGGAGGAATCCCACCAGGAGACGCATCAATTGAACTAGAAATTAAGCGTGCCACCAGCCAGTTTGGGCTGCCAATGCCTCTGGACCCACAGGCAAAGAAGGGAGTTAACATATTGCCTGATGTGACTGATAACTGATTACTGGGGAAATCAGATTGATATTACACAATGGGGGTAAAGAGTGAATGTGTGAAATATAGGAAATTTCTTAGGGCGTCTCTTAGAACTTCCATGCCCTGTGATTAAAGTCATTGAAATATTATAGCATTCCAAATCTGAATTGACTACTAATGGCCTGGACCCTTCAGGAATGAAGGTTTGGGTTACTCTGCCAGGCAAAAAACCATAACCAGCTATGGTGCTTGCTTAAGGCAAAAGAAATATGAAATTGGTGGTAGAAGAAGGTAGTTCTGAATACTAGCTATAATCACGTGATCACTTGCAGAAATGAGGACTGTAATTGTTATGAGTAATTCTTTCTTGTTTTACTTTACGTGTATGTGTGTATATCTCAAATATTTTTGCTTTCTTCCCTCTCCTGTCCCGTTACTTATAAAATATAAGCTGTAAATGGGGCAAGGGCATTTTTGGTTGTATGCATATTAGCTGTTTTATGTTAGATGCAAGTGCGGCTTTATAATTGTCTTTATTTAGAGATTATGAATGGTTTAAGGAGATGGCTGTAGGTGTCATGTTGACAGGGAGTAGAATGTGATGATTAATGTCATGTGTCAATTTGATTAGGTTAGTATTCTCAGTGGTTTGGCAGACATTGGGCTCATTGCTTTTTTGTAAGTAATATAATATAATCACTTCTATGATGTCATCTGATGTGATCAGCCAGTCACTTCTAAGAGGAATTTCCTCAGGGGTGTGACCTGCATCCAATGTATATGGACATTCTGGAAAAGCTCACTGACTTCCTTTTGCTCCTGCATTCAACTTGTCATCATCTGACCTCCTGGTCTCAGGACGTATGCTAACAGTCACTGCCTGACCTGCACATTTTGGGATTTGCCATCTCCAATAACCCTGTGAGCCAGTAGCCTGCCAACTGACCTGCCCATTTTGGGTTTATCAGCTCCTACAACTATTTGAATCAGGAGAAGCCTCCAGCCTAGCAGCTGACCCACAGATTTGGGACTTGCCAGCCTCCACAACTGTGTGAGCCATTTTCTTGAGATTAATTTTTTTCTCTCTCTCTATGCATTTTACTAGTTTTCCTTTTCTAGAGAATCCAGCCTAAGACATCACCTTTCTATAATAAATGTCTGACTATGCCAGTCTTACTTTTTAAAAAAATCTTTGAATCCTCATTCCTTTCAGAATAAAGATCAGACTTTTGAGATGTCATTAAGACACCATGAAATTGTGGCAAAGACATGGGCTTTGCCATCAGGCAGACCAAAGTAGAGATTCCGCCTCTGCCACTTACTTAATACGTGTGATGTTGTGCAAGTTAATTCTTTCCAATTCCATTTCCTGATCTCAGTTCATAGTTGGAGTACTCTGTATTCATAGGGCAGGAGAGAAGATTAAATAAACTAATATGTGCAAAGAATTTAGCAACAGAACCCCTAATATGTTGGTTTTCTTTTTCCTTTCAGAGCCCTCATAATCTGATCCCAATCCAGTGTCTTAAGCCATTTCTTTTAAAAATAAAAATAATTTATTCATCAAAGGAATGTTACCACAGATAATAAGATCCCACAAAAGAGCTTTTAAAATTTATTTTTTCCAGGAGGAAGAGCTTGATAATATCATAGGGAATATCCTTCAGCCTAACCCTAGAATGGTTATAAAGTGAATTTTAAAGAGATTGAAGAACAAAACAAAAATATCATTCATAGCATTTCACTGTTTATATTGCTCAGTGACCGTAAACTACCTGATCGAAAACTTTTTCTGCGCACACTCCGAAGATAATTGCGGTATAGCATGACACTAATGACTCGAGCTTGAAATTGTTTTGAAACAATGTAATAGAGAATAACATCCAGACATGTGCTGAGGTTCATGAGAAAGGTGGTAAAGGCTCCCCAGGGGCTGTAACTATTTTCTTCCCCTGCCAGCATTAAGAAAGCGAAACAGATGTGGAAAGGCGTGAAGCAGACGAGCACTTGCACCACGAGAGTGATGATGATTCTGATAGACTTCTCCTTGACTTTTGGTTTCAGCTTAGATGTCTTACCATGAAGGAGACTATGAATAATGACCAAGTAGCACCCAATCATGATGAACAGAGGAAGCAAGAAAAAAAATATCAGTCTAGTGAAGTTCAACATGTTAATGGCTTTTAAGTAGATAATGTCAGAAATCTTTAGGCAGGTGGCAGGGTTGGAAGCTTTATCTGGGTCTTCATATAAAAATAGCAGAGGGGTGGTGGTCATCAGAGTCATTATCCAGATTCCTACACATGCTAGCACGGCTTTGCATGTGTTTTTAAGTTCTTTGGCATATTTTGGCTGCACAATGGCCATGTATCTGTCAGCACTAATAAAAGCAAGAAGCCATAGAGCAATACTTGGGTAAAATATTGTGAGAGCACCAAGAATCTGGCAGAAGTCCTCTCCAAATGGCCATTCACCTTTTGCATAATAAAACATCCGAAAAGGTAAGCTCAGTATAAATATTAAGTCCAAAAATGCCACATTCATCATATAGATAGTTACAGTAGTTCTCTTCTTAGTGGTACAACTGAAAACCCATAATGCGGTGACATTGACGAATAATCCAATTATGAAGATACAGCTGTAGAAAACAAGGGCAGCAATTTTGTATTCATCTGGATGTGAGCTGTTAGAAGCAACAGGCTGATCTTCACTGTTAGGAGTAGTCATCTTATGTCTTGTTGGTAGGCATAATACTTAGAAACTGAAAAAATAGTTAAGAAAAACAGAAATAATAGACATATATATTGAAATATAAGTGCTTAACAGTGTCAAATTCAGCATGTCAGTGAATTTAAATTTTGAGAGTAGTTAATTGTTGAGAGTCAATGTGTGTGTCTTAGTATTTATTAAGGAATATATTCCTAAGTTATTACTAAAATGTACTAACTTATTAAAATGGAATGTCATAATACAAAAATTAATTCATTTATCTCTCTCCCTGCTTATCTCCCTTCTCCACAAAAGAATACCCTTTTCTTCATGATTATTTTCTATACAGTGAAATTGGTTAGCAATTGTTCCTGTAACAAACATTTTTTGATTTAGATGAATTGAGAGAAGAATTTTTATTCCTATAAAATAGTTTTCCATTTTTTGTCATCATCATTCTGTTTAAATATTTTGTAACCCAGATTAATAATGTCCTAATGATGAATTTTTATTCATTAAATACAATTTTAATGCACAAAATACATATTCGAAAACTAATGAGGGAGCCACACAACTAGTTAATTAATGACCATTTCTAGAAATTTTCACTTGAGGGCAAGAACTTTTCCTTTTTCACTATTATTTTGAGCACAAAGTAGGTACTCTATAAATATTTGCTAAACTGATGGAATGATAGAAAGAAGGAACCATTGGTGAGGTGACCAACAGCAGCTGTTCTTTAGTTATCAGTGAAGACTGGCATAGTTAGCCATTTAACTTTTTTATTTTTAAATTAAAGTGGCAAATCTTTCTTTCACAATATTATCTTTTGTTCTTTTTAAGTTATCATAGGTCTAGAAACAGCTTTATCTTGTGTCAGAGTCTCCAAATGAACAACTTAACTCTTGAAACAATAAGTGAGCTTTTTTATAATACACAACTGGGAGTCTTTTAGATTATGTTGACCAGGGACTGAGAAGCTGATTTCATCTGTTGCAATGGTACATGTAAAGCAACAGTTTCTAAGGACCTTGAAAATAATATAAATTGCCAGTATAATAACTTTTCATACCTTAATTTGTCAAATTAAAATTTTAAAAAGGAATTATCAAAGACAAATATTAAGAAGTCACTTCATGTGTATGTAGAAACTAATTCTCATTACCCCAAAATGTCCATTTTTAATGGAAAGGAGTTTAGTTGTGATTTTTAAGAGTTCATCAACCTCTTAGTGTTAAACTTCTGTCGCCTCTGATGCAACACCATCAGAGGTTTTAGAAATAGACTCAGTACAAAGATATGGAACCTTGTGGCGTTCCCTTGAAATATAGAGGTGTTTAAAGTTTCCTTAAGAAATGTCACTTTGTAGAGTGGGTTGTCTCTAATCTAACCCTGAATCTCTCTTTACTGAGGACTGTATGGGAGATCACCAGTTTGTGATCAGTGATCTCATGTGCTGTTGGTAATTAGGAATTAATTTGAGCAAATGTTGTGGACAGACACAAGATAAGAATTTTTCTTTTTTCCCTCCCTCCTTCCTTTCCTCTCTTCCTTATTTCCTTCTATCCTTCCTTCCTTCTTTCTTGCCTAAAGTTAGTTTGCCAAATATTTGGGTTAAATAATAGAATACAATTCTATGTATTTAAAAATCTACATTAATTATAATTTCCAGATATTTGTATGGCTAGAATATTAATTTCTATCAAATGACAAAAATACTGCACAGAAAAATTAAATCTCCAGTATCATACAGAGGAGAAAAGTTTTAGAGGCTTGACTCTTACTTTTACTCTCAATGAATTTTTTAAATAATAGCGATTGTAATATAAATTAAATTTTGTATTCTTTTTTCTGTCTTTCATATTGTATTAAGACCCCCTCCATCCATCCTTGTCTCCTAATTTTGTCACATAACTACCATACACATAAAAACCATATTTCTGTAAATCTCTTTTTGGCCATTGAACTTAAGCTACTTTTTATGTAGCCTATTTGTCACTACCACTTGTATTCATTTATTAAGTTTGAAAAAAAACAGAGAGTGATGCTTGTGTTTTAAAGGCATTACCAGTATAGGTTGTGGTGTGTACATACACAGAAATTTTTGGGTAAATACTGAAAAGTTACTAGCTTTCAATCCAACCTTTAAGAAGCTTTATGATTGATTATCTGTAGTTCCATGATTATCTGTAGTTCCATGATTATCTGTAGATACTTTTTTCCCCTTAAAAACCATTAAGTACATTTTGTGAAACAATGTAATTAAAACCATGTGACAAAAGATCCTAAGCATATTTATGATTTGTCATATCAACCTTTCCTTAAATAGAAAAAAAAATATTTACTATTAATCTAAAATAATATTGAAAATAAATGAAGAATCGTATTAATTACATGGAAAGGTGATAGCATAATCCATTTCAAGATCTTTCATCAATTTAGTTTCAGAAATGTAAATATTATTAAAACAATGATTTTAAAATTTAGTGAATAAAACATTATTTATTTTATAATAATTATCCATGATAAAGTAATTAAATGCTGCTTACCTCCTGTCCATCAAAAAGCTGTGCCACAGATGAACATTTTTCAGTATGCCTAGTTCTGTAAGAGAGATATCCTTGGATTGCTTGTGTTAAAATAGTTCTTTCTGTAAGTAGTATATTTATGAAATGTCATATTTCTTTTGTTCTAGGCTCTTGTTGCTTTAAAAAGTTATTTCAAATATAATACTTGTATAGGAACTGGTACTCGTTCTGCCGTAGTTGCTGGTTTGTCTCTTTCAGGAAGTACTCAGAAGTAAGGTTTTTTTAACTTATGACTTTACCCTGGATGTGGTTTTTTTTTCCTTTCACAAATGATTTGTTTACAAAGTCACATTTAGAATAAACTCCCCTTGAATGATGGCATATAGTTAAAAGACTTATAGAAAAGGAGGAAATTACTTCAGATTATATACTTTGATGGTTAAAGTCTCCATCATATATGGAAAAATGAGATTTGATGTTGAGTAAAGCAGAGTTCAAAGCCTCGCTTCTCCACTGCTGCTTCACTTTCTAAGCTGTGTGACTTTGTCTAATTATTTAGCTACCCAAGCCTTTGTTCCTACTTAGTTTCTATGCAGTTAAAATACAGATAATACCCATCAATAGGATTGTGAGGACTATAATTCAGAAAAACCCAAAGTGCTTAACATAATATGTGGCACTTAGTAGATACTCACTACTAAACAGAGTTTAGCACCTAAACAAAGTACCTAAAAATGATAAGACTATCCACTTTTTACTATTTAAGCGTTTTTAAATGGTTTCAAATTGAGTCTGAATTACTTGATTCTGATTTTTATATACATTTACCCACTTTAATTTGCTTAATTCTTTAAAGCCCTAAAGCTTCATTTTTCCCTTTTCTTCCATATGAAAATCTAGAAATAATTTCTATTGCCTAGCTAAGAAAGGACTTTGGGAGTCTTTACTGAAATAATTTACATATTAGGAGTATTTTAACCAAAAAAGGAAATGAAACCAATGGAAAGGGAAGTGACAATTCAAATTGAGCAACTGAGTCATTGCCTGCCTAATTGTGCCAAGTTTTTTACTTTCTCTTTTCTGTTTTTTAAAAACTTATTTTGCTTGTTTTATATTTGGCTGTGTTTGATTTGTTAAGTTTAAAAAGAACATAAATATAACTGCATTTATGTATTTTGAATTTAAGATAGTTTGAGAGTCCATGCTCTTTTTTCCTTAGACAAAATAATAGTAAGTCTATGATTTTAAAAAGTCATGTATGGTTATGCGGCCATGGTAATCAAAACAGCCTGGTACTGGTTCAGTGACAAACACACAGACCATTAGAACAGAATTGAGAACTCAGAAGTAAATCTATCCATTTATGGCAACTTTGAGCCGAGCTTTAACAAAGGGTCAAAGTCCATTCAATGGGGGAAGAAACAGGCTCTTTAACAAATAGTGTTGGCAAAACTGGTTATCCACTGTCTTAGGCTGGGTTCTCTACTGAAGCAAAACCAGTGAAGCTTTTATATCTACCTACCTACCTACCTACCTACCTATCTATAGAGTGAAATTTATCTCCAGGAAATGGCTCACACAGTTGTAGAGGCTGGCAAGTCCCAAGTCCATGGATAAAACGTCAAGCTGGAGGCTTCTGACTAACGCAGCTATAAGGAATGACCAACTCAAGATTGCCAGGCGGTACAGCAGGCTGCTGGCTGCTGTGGCTGACAGATCCAAGAATGGCAGGTAAAATGGCACATTGTTGGCTCACAGGCTGTGAAGGCAACAGTCACAAGATGAGCATACAACATGACAGCTAGAAATACGTTATGAATCAGTAGTCATACTCCTAAGTATCTTCTTCAAGTCACCTTTACTTTCAGCAAGCAAGGCTGTATCATCTGCATATCTCAGATTGTTACCAAGTCTTCCTCCAATACTGATCCTGCATTATTCTTCTTATAGTCCAATTTCTTGGATTATTTGCTTAGCATACAGATTGAATAAGTATGGTGATAGGATACAACCCTGCTGCACTCCCTTCCTGACTTAAACCATGCAGTATCCCCTTGTTCTGTTAGAATGACAACCTCCTGGTCTATGTACAGGTTCTTCAAGAGCACAATTAAGTGTTCTGGAATTCCCATTCTTCTCAATGTTACCCTTAATTTGTTATGATCCACACAATCAAATGCTTTTGCATAGTCAATGAAACACAAGTAAACGTCTTTCTGGTATTCTTTGCTTTTAGCCAAGATCCATCTGACATCAGCGATGATATCCCTTGTCCCATGTCCTCTTTTGAATCCAACTTCCATTTCTCGAAGTTCCCTGTCAATATACTGCTGCAATCGTTTTTGAATTATCTTTGGCAAGATTTTACTTGTGTGTGATAGTAATGATACTGACTCTTTCATAATTTGCACATTCTTTTGGGTCACCCTTCTTTGAAATGGATACAAATATGGTTGTCTTACAGTCATTTGGCCAGATAGCTATCTTTCAAATCTTGGCAGAGACAAATAAGTGCCTCCAGC